TTTATTTTTATCTTATTTGTCTTTTCTTTTGTTTCGTTTTTTTTTGAATATTTATATCTGTATAGCAAGAATTGTTATATTAATAAATACCGATAAAATATTAATCATACATATTACAGGAATTAGACGAGACATCGAATGCAGAACGAATTGAATTAGCTAATCAACAAATGCTTCAAAATGCTTTACCGTCACATATTGCGCAAAGTTTCCCGATCAAATCTGATCTTTATCATCATATTTGTCATAGTGTTGGCGTAGCTCATATCAGTGTATGTTACATTTAATGAATTTTCAATAAAAATTAACATATTTGATTTATTATAGTCTTGATATGCTTGAATTAACGGATGCTATTGAGGAGGAGAAAAAGGAATAAAAAATTATCGAATTATTAACATAATATATACAAATGCATATGTTATGAAATATTTTATTTTCTGTCAAATTTTACATGATGAAATAAATTCTAAGCCACAAACAGAAAATTATGCAAATAATTGTAGAATAGAAAACGAAATAAATAAGGAAATTTATTAATTTAAAATAGTGGAAAATTTATAGAAATGAAAATAGCAAAAAAAAGATCCATTATTATTTAAAAGTTTAAAAACTATTTTAATTAAATTACTACTCCTTTCGATTTTTTCTTTTTTTTTTGCTTTCATTTATAGATTTTGAGCGATGATAATAATGGTGAAGCTGCTGTAAGAAATCTCAAAAATTTAATATGCATTTTTGATCAGGTAAATATTTGTTCATTTTTTCCAAAATTTATTTTAATTATTCAATATTATTTATGAAATCAAAAAAAAAATCCTTTGATCTATTTTAGATTGTTATGCAACATCGTGGAATTGAGAAAATTCGAGGATGTCAAAAAAATTATATTGTTGCAGTGGGTGTTATTCCAGAATTTTGTAAAAATGTTTGTTCTTATATTATTTATAAAATTGCAATAATGCAAATCTTTTTCGTTAAAAATAAATACAATGCCATAAACTGAATTATTTAAAATTGGCACTTTTTATATTATACTGAATTATTTCATTATTTAAATTAAAAATTGTTTTAAACTCGTGAATTAAGAAAACAGTATTGTATCATGTATAAATTTAATTTAGCAGTGCATGACTGCTAATTAAATTTTAGCACTTATGAACAAATTATCCGAATACTTTTAATATTCATTTAATTATTTCAAATTTTCCTCTATTGTCATGATGATATTTTTGATACAAATAAAGGTTCACGACACGCCCTCAACAATTGGTGACTTGCTTGCTGAACTTACGCAATTTGCATTAGATATTTCGGCATTTGCTGCTGATCATGGTATTTCCTTAAATATCGGTAAGCAATTTTAATTTTAGAATACAAATGATTAATATAACTTTTTCTTCATAACTGATGTTTACTTAAATGATATATATGCGTGGAATTGAAATTATCCTTATTTGATATCGAAATATGGGGTGGAAATTCGAAAATTTTATTACTCATAAAATCATTTGCATACTGAATTGGTTTATTTTCCGATTCAGAACATTGTATTTTACTGTAAATACACGTTAAAATTGAATTCAATATAACATTTAATTAATATAAAATTGATTTCCGTGAAGAAACATTTTATTCCTTGTGTGTTTTTGAGTATTGATTACTTTAAAAAAACGATAAAATAGAACTAAAATATATGATTTAATGGAATTTTCCTTTTGGCTGTTGAAATTTTGACATATAAACAAAAGAATAATTAAATGTGAAATATATTTCAGGTATTGATTGCGGATCCGTTTTATCAACAGTTGTAAACAGTCAAAAGCCTACGTATGAATTGATTGGTATGCCGTGTTTGGGTGCTCGTACCTTAATGCAACATGCAAATTGTTACGGTATTATGGTATCTGAAGAGATCTATTTAGCTTTAAGGCCAAGGAATTTCAATTTTGATTCAAGACCAATCAAAATTTCGAAAACTCTTAATGCATATGTATTCGAGGATAATTACCCGGATACTAGTTATCAGGCTGATGAAACAGACATCAATTCATCATCTCTACCACCAGAACAAAATTCAACATCACAAAATCCGTTAGAGGTTCTTCTGACGATTAAATTTCTTTGCTTTTATTTCTTAATTTTTCGTTTATTTTCTTGTTAGAATCAGATGTTCGATCATTCCGGATTATTCCGGATCTTAGACAATCCTATTCCTTATTTTTTTTCAGATGTTTGCTTCGATGAATTCTTCATTCTCATCGGAAGTATATTCAATAGATATTGGGGTTGAAACCGATTCAGAAATGGAATGGATTACACCGGAAATGTTATTGTATGAGAATGCTCAACTTAATGCACAACCATCAACTTCATCCGTACAACCTCCAACACATACCAATCAAAATTATTTTGATTCACAAGCATATTTGTCATCTGATTCACAGGTATATTTCTTTTTTCCATAAATTTTGAAATTTGATAATTGTTTAAGACAATTTTCATCGCATTCTTTATTTTTTTAAAATATATTTTATAAAATTTCCGCAACAATTTTTGTTTTCGAAAATGCTGATGATTAATTTTAAACAAACGTTTAAATGAAATTTTAGCAATTTAATAAAAAGCAATGAAAATGAAAGTTGAACTATTAAATGTAACTCATTTAAAATTAAACAACAACAATTAATCAAATCATCTTTCATATATTTTACACGTAAAATTTGTATATATTTTAATGATGAAAAGCAAAATAAATTTAAATTTCGAGCTTTAATCTCTAATAAATAAATTAAATATAGAATAATATTGGTCAAGTTGAAAATTTAACATGTTTAGGGTAACCAATCGGTGACACCGGAACGAAGTCGTAGTCGGCGATTTTATATGGGACGGATACCAAATTGGTTGAACCGATCGATGACATCGGATAAAAGTCGAGTATTTGATGAAAATGATAAGCTTGCTGCTGCAGCAAGTCGTGTTGATCGGATGCTAGCTGAGCTAACAGCAATCGCTAATATTGATCCAACACCTGAAGATCATCCATTTCCAACTGCACTTTCTACCTCAACTAGAAGCTTGAGGTAAGCTGAAAATGATAAATGCAAAGAAAGATAACATGATAAATTACATTAAATAAGTCAAATGAATTTTATATTAGTAAAGTTGCAAATTTCAATGTTCTTTTTTCTTTTTTTTTTTTTTTTTTAATTTAAAGGCGCGATCTCTCAAGCGCTTGCCATACTGAATACGATAATGCTGAATCAGAAGGCAATTGGTCCGATTCTGAAATGCTTGATGGTCGATTGGAGCGACTTCATAAAACTTTAAGGTCTTGCTCAGAAATTTCATTTAATTTTTCTACAACATTATTTTTATACAGCATTCACTACATCAATTATATCATTTTATAGTTAGGAAAATAATATTTGACTCCTTAATAATTAATTAAAGAAATAATTTGTTTTAATATCATACAATAATTCAGTAATTACAGAGATTGTAATCGTTTAAGCAATCCGCAACGGAGGAAGTATAGATTATGGAGTCAAAGTGATAATGGTAATGATGCTGATATCGACAGTATCTGTTCATCTATTGGTACATCATCCTTTTTCAGTAATCTTCGATGGAATAGGTTATGTTTAAACACATTTCATCATATTTATTTTGCAAATTTGAAGTTAAAATGCAAACCTTATATAAATAAACAGTTATAAATATGTATACATTATAGCAATACAGAAATAATTTGTATCAATTAATAATTGAATTGATATACAAAATATTTTATTTATTATTATTTTTTTCTTAATAACAATTGTTTATTAATTGTTTATCATACTATTGTTGTAAAGATTACATCTGCACAATAATTTAGCTTCATTTCTACTTAAGAAAAATATGGTAACTATAATTAAAACTATTATGATTTATAATAAATATATCCAAGAAATGCATAGTAGTTATTAACAAGCAGCAATATTCTCAGCAATTTGTAGTTCATTTTTAACTTGTAATTAAAAAATACTTTAAAAAAATCTCAAAAAATAAATCAAATATTTATTTAGTTCAAAAACAAAAAAATTTTTTTTTTTTGAAATGGATAAATTTTTTTACAGACATAAACTAATCGATCTGTCACTTTAATTCATCATTAATATAATAAAGTCAAAAATTTTTCTCTAAAAAATTATATTCTTTATATATTCAAAAGTTAAAATTTTTCTTTTATAAATCATATAATTAAAGTTGAAATTTACATTATAGTGTTCATTCGATTGGTTATGAAAATGAATACGAATTTGCTTCCAAAGAAGATCTCAAAGAGATAGCTCGTAGCCAAATGGAAGCATTAAGTCGTGATATACGTATGAGTTTTGGTGATTATCAGCTTAACACCTTTTCAAGTAATGATCCTTGAAAATAAAAACTAATTTAATTAATAGAAATTTCAAAAGAGGAAAAGAAGTGAAATAATTAAAAAATGTTACGTAAAGAATTCAGGATTGATTATCACTGAAAAAGCATATGAATGTACTATTGGTTAAGTCAAAAAGGTTTAATTAGAAATTTCACGAAAATTTAAAAGTTTACAAATTAGACAAATTTTATTTATTAGCCTATTTTTATTTCGAATACATTACGAATTTGCCAATATCTGTTTGTACGATTTAGAAATCATCTATGATAATTTTGTCTATATCATTTATCATGTTTTTGGAAGTATTTATTATATCAAATTTTGTTCTTAATGAATCCTTAATTTTGTTTAATTCATTTTATGTTTTTTGTTATGTTCATATTTTTTGTTTCATTGCATTTTCTTTCCTTCCTACATCGATCAACGAACAATATAATTGCTTGCCGAAATTTTGTTTTTTTTTGTTTTTTTCCTTTTTACATTATCATCGACAAAAATTTCATGGCTCAATTTATTTGCTGATTTTTTGTATTATTCGAGATCAAAGATCATCGTTTACTTTTATAATTTATCTTGATGTTAAATACAAAAGATAGTGATAAAATTAAATTTAAAATCGATTCGCTATTGACAAAGCACTTTTTACATCATACAGAATTTTCATTAGAATATTTTTTTAACCAGCAATAAAATAGATTGAAATATTGAAATTTTGACATCACAGATAAAAGAATTGAAAATTAATTTTTCAAATCAATATTATAGAAATTTGAATTCAGAAGGATTCCGACATTTATTCCTCACCACGCATTGATATCCCTTTATTAATATTAATAATCAAGCTTTAGTTAGTGGAGCGTTAAAACTTCCGGAATACCTATTCGTAATAAAACCAGAAAATGTAAATCTAATTAATCGGGCTTAATTAAGTTTGTAATTCAAAAAGAGAATCAAAATATATCGTGCCTGACATTGACTATTTCCGCATCATAAATAATATACACCAAGAAGAAGTAAAGGTGACATCATCGAACTATGACATTGTTTTATATGTTACCGAAAGCAAATGAAGAAAAATTGATAAGCTTTATCACTTATTTCCTCTTTGTCCCTCTCATAGCTATAGCTTATTTCTATCTCCAATTAGTGAATGTTTAATTGGCCCCAATAAATTAATGAATTCTTATTTATGATTATATTTATAACATAGGTTGTTATCATTTTTATTATCAATTAGCTAATTAATTACTGATTATTAAAAATATTTTCTGGAAAAAAAAAGTTGACGAAGGAATTTAGGAGATAAATGAACGAACAAAACTTATTTTTGGATTTATAAAGTGCTATCATTCATTTTGTTAGCTATTATCTTTTAGCAATAACATTTGTTATCATTAATTAATCAATGAAGCTTACTTGAACGTTGCTGTAATCGCTTTCAATATTTGATTTCAATTAAAAAAAAAAAAAAAAACAAATAAATAATTCCCACTAATTAATTTTTATTTTAATTACGTTTCTATTATCGTAACATTTTTTTTTTCTTCCTTACATTTCACTTTTGGCTTTTTTTTTCATATTATTTTCTTATTTTCGTTGACAATAAGGTAATGCATTACAATACAAATAAAACAATAAATGGTAAGTTTGGAAAATTTGAATGCGAATTATTACTCATTTGTGAATAATTTTTAGTATCAATATAAATTATTCATTAATTAATTAGGATGATATTTGTTTAAGATTTGAAATATTTATTTTAAGCTTTATTTAAGGCTATCATAATATCATTTGAAACTTGTATATCGATTGAAAACATTGAAACACTTATTCATCCATTCATTCATTCATCCATTAAATGATATCATAATTAAATTCAATTTAATCAATATGAAAATAAAGCATAAAATTTACATAATAACATAAATCCATTTAAAATGAATTTAAATTTATCGAAAAAATTTTTATAAAATTGTCAAATCAATTTTTTCGTTCTTTTTAAATTTTTTTTAGATTGATTGATTAAAATTTTACATACCAATTTTAATAAATTACTCGTTCATTCATTTACTCATTCACTCATTAAATGATAACATAATTGAATTCAATTTAATCAATATGAAAATAAAGCATAAAATTTACATAATAACATAAATTCATTTAAAATGAATTTAAATTTGTTGAAAAAATTTTTATAAAATTGTTAAATCAACTTTTTTTTTTCATCCAATCATTCTTTTTTTCTTTTTAAATTCTTTTAGGTTGATTGTGTTTCTTAATTAATCGTATCACTTTAGTACATTTTCCGGCTCCATCTTCAATTATTCGCGCTTCCTGAATGATTACTCGAGCGGGTACTAAACGAAACGTGTAATCACGTTTAATGAATTGACACGTATACGATAATAAATTAAGGCATGCGATACGTTCTTGTACTAATCCATTACTACATCCTTCTTCTTCACTGCAATATTTTCATTATCACAATCAAAAATTTTAATTTAATAATTAAAATTTTTTTAAATTAATTT